ATAATGTTAGGATACTAATAAATTGAACTAATTACGAAAAAATAAATTATATAGTATACAAGTCTTTCATGAATACTCAGTTTGTATTATATTAATTTTTAAGGTTGTTAAACATAAATTAAAAATCATGTTTTTTTCAGTTTTTTTCTAAAATAAAATATGTTTTATCATCAAAACAATTCAACCAATTAAAAAATAATTTGCAAAATTTAAACAGTTAAAAACAATAAAAACACAATTAATTTTACATAAAAAATTGAAAATATCATCTATTATCAAACAAAATAATTATTTTTAAAATATTATCTATTATGATACAAAGGGGAGTATATCATAGTATTTTATTTGAAAGATTCTTTTCACTTTTTGTCCTCTTTTTTAATTTTATTATTTTCTATTATGAGAGAATCTGGGACGCCCAACGCATCAGCTGATATGGCCTTTCACGTTCGTTAAACTAATCTCACCATTAACGATTATAATACTATAATTCCAAGTGGGAGTTTCTTATATTTTCGTTTACAACTAAACATTGACGTTTCACCTTTTTCTATATATTCGTGACTTTGTGTTTGATCGATTATTTTTTGTAACAAACATCTCTCAATAGTCATCTGAAGCAAATCAATCATATCCATGGCTTTCTCTCCTCCGTAAGAAGATTCTTTATTTCCTTTATGATTTTCATTGAACTTTGTAAGGTTTTTGGATAAATATAAAGTCGATTCTAATCTTATAATCTAAACTTCTTCTCCTTTAATTTAATTTCTTTGTGATCGAGAAAAGTTTGGTAGAAGTTCGTCAAGTTCCGCTTAATGCTTCCTCCGATCCACCAGCTGGTTTGTTCGAAGGAACCACAAGGTTTTTTCAATGTTTTTAAATAGTTAATTTAAGCTTCAAAAATTAGTTATACTATATGCTAATGAGCTTTTGTTGTATTACATTAATTAACCTTGGTTTGTTATTACTTGAAACAAAACAAAAAAGGTTGTACATAAACTACACCTGCCCATATTCACAACGTGTTTGGATTACCAGAAACCTCAAGGTACTTGTTTTTTTCTTATTCGTTTCTCTTATTTGAAATTTCCTCCATCATAAAGTGTTTAATTTTATAGAGATTCACTCCATTTTCTGATACACACATAGTGTGAACTAAATTGAATTGGCTTGTGTTAAATAATTGGTTCTAGTATTTATCCCCAAAAGTTGGTTATAGTCTAAAAATGGTTTCGAATGGATCACTTTCCACTTGAGATTATTCCAAGTTTTGTTGAACAAGAACCAAATTTTCGAAATTCGTGATTTACCATGGCCTTATAAACTTAGATTGTCATCTCATTTCATAGTAGGATTTCATAATATGAGTAAATTGCAATATGTTTTTTTGTTGTTGTATATATGATTAATATGAAAAAGCCTTGCTATTGCGAAAACTATTCTAATCGTTTCGGCCTAACAAAAGTTTGATTTCCAAATTTCTGGATTTAATTCCTTTCAGTCTGGCTATAGTAACACATATGGCCTTGTAAAATCTCTCTCTTACAATCTGTTTTTATTCTTAAAATGAGATTGATATGGAAACATCAAGATTTGTTTAATTGATTTGATATTGGGGAATTTTAGGGTCTGCAAGAGAAGATCAAATTGGTTCCTATAGACCTTGCTAATAGGCCAGCTTGGTTCAAAGAGAATGTAAATCCTGCAAACAAGGTATATATCGTTTTGTCGGTGTAAAAAGAAAAACAAATTTGAATCTTTATAAAATATAAATTATGGTTCCTTCATAAGTGCCAATAGATGAATATAAGATTGTAATAATGATATGCAGGTGCCTGCACTTGAACACAACGGCAAAATCATTGGGGAGAGTCTAGATTTAATCAAATATGTCGATAGCAACTTTGACGGTCCTTCGCTTTACCCCGAGGTTAGACCGTGTTCGGGTTCTAGTTACTTCATGTAAATTTATATTTAATGTTATAGAGCTTGTTTCATGTTGTTCTATGGAACATTTTTTGTCTAGGATCCTGCAAAGAGAGAGTTTGGTGAAGGCTTGTTGAAATATCTTGATGCAACATTCGTTAAAACCGTGTTTGGATCTTTCAAAGGTGATCCAGCTAATGAAACGGGTAAGATTTGGTTTTTTGCAAATTGCGAAAATTTTCGTAACTGAAAAATGCTTTATATTTCAAATATGCATTTTTTATTTGTTGTTATATATGTAAACATGGACACAAACGCATAAACATTACGTTTAAAGCAATACAAGTCTTATCGCAATCTAAGTAACTAGAAGCTGAAACTTGTGTGTTTTTGAGCAGCATCGGTCTTCGATCACTTGGAAAATGCTTTAAAGAAGTTTGATGATGGTCCTTTCTTCCTCGGCGAGCTTAGCTTGGTATATAAAACCTTTTTTCTCTTAATATATGTAAAATGTGAACCTTTAATTAGTTTCACAATGATAATTTTTTTTTGTTCTTCCTAGGTTGATATTGCATATATTACATTCACCCAACGATTTCAAGTCTTCCTCGGCGAAGTTTTTACGTACGATATTGTTGCCGGACGTCCAAAACTAGCTTCTTGGATTGAGGTACACACATACGCATATAGTAGGTTTTCATGAGGTTAAGCACTCTAACCTCAAATGAGTTTTGTTTCTTGCAGGAAATGGAAAAGATGGTTGCATACACCCAGACGAAAACCGACTCGGAATATCTCATCAATTATTTCAAGAAGTACATGGTAAGAGTTTATAAATTTCTACAATGTCTAAACACATATTTAGGAACATCATTTCAAATCCGAAAAGTTATTAGAAATCATATATATGAAAACGATTGGGGAAATTTTATGTTTGTTTGGATGCAAATGTCTTTTTGGGGGAGTTTATGTTAACTAAGTGTTATTAAGAACCGAATAAATGTTTTTTTGTTCTATAACAAAAGTTAACCGATTCGGACTTTCTTTTTGTAGTAAAGTAACAAATCTTTCGGACCGAATCGTCGGTGACAAGACCATGTTGATGTATGAAGAAGATCGCGAGAACGTTATTGCGTGGAGTGCTACAATAAATTTCTGGATTTGTGTCATTTTTAAGCGTATTCGTACCTAAGAAATAAGATTTTGCTTAGCTTTAAGCAAAAGAGATTTGATCAGTGTACTGAGATTACATAAGAAAAATTTGGCTTCTTTTGTTTGTTTGCAATGAGAAATTGGCTGAGCTCTTAAAACTTCAATTTTGTCTTATAAAGGATATTTAAAATTATAATTTGCTAAAAGTAATTTTTTTTCACCATATGAAACAAAATAAGCCCACTAAAGCATATTTTTTATAATCACTAAACCGTCTTAGAACATCTCCAATATATTACTTTATTTTCCACTTTAAAATAGAGTAATTCCAAAATAGAATTATATTTCACTCAAATGTATTACTCTATTTTCTACTTCACAAATAA